GAAGATAGATAGTTATAGTTTTCCTTAGTTATGATAAAGATAAAATAGATATATACACTGTAATTCCTGCTTGATAACTGTTTTGTTATATGTAATTTTGCTCTGTTAAAGTTAAAGCATTCTTTTTGTCTAAACAGAAAAAGGGGAAATGATATGGCAATGAAGCAAGCCGCCAGGTCAGACAAGCTGAATCTTTCCCGGTAAGACCGGTGTTACACAGTTTATTAGAGATGGGTTGATCGGGATATCAGAATTAGCCAGTCAAGGCTAGAGCTAATGGGGCAAGCAGTGTTTAAATGAATACAATTTGTGTGTTGTTATTTCTGGTGTAAAGCTAGCCATGTGGGAGCCAGGCTGTGGGAAGAGGCCCACAGCTCCTACAACACCTTGAGACCCAGAATCTATATGGATGAAAGTATGAAGAAACATAAAACTGATTCCATTCATAACTCATAAGACTTACTCAATAAAGAAGTTTCACCAAAGTGAGCAATTTTCAATGATAAAAATAAGCAAACTGATGGTAGAAGATAGGCCAGTACAGTAGGGAGACGTGTAAAAAACCAATGTCAACTAAGTACTTAGTGGTAACACTGACAAATTTCCCCTTATGAACAGCATTGATACAAGGGTGCTTTAGTGGCCCCTTTCCTTTGGTATCCTCCAAGTGTTCCAAACATAACAATTAACAACACAAATAATTAAAATGTGGCCAATGAATTGGCTGTAAATATATCTGCATATGACGCTAACTTATTCTGGCAGATCCTAAAGATTCTATAGTAGTTTCTGGAACTGGTGAAAAAAACACACTTATCTGAGCTCTACTCCCTTAAACTAATATTGGACACAAACAATGAGATGCCCCATTTTGTCACATGCATAGAGAAGCTAAATGACAAGGAAGACTCAAGTAGACACATGGATCTCCCTGGGAGGAAGAGATAGAATGGATTTTGTGGATGTACTGGGGACAAATAAAGATGGAAACAGGAGAAACAGGTGGGGAAAGTTGGATGGAAGGAGAAAATACTTAGAGAAATAATTGGAATGGTAGGGACATTTGGGGAGCAATGTGGAAATCTACTACAGTAGAAACTCCCTAGAATCTACAAGAGTGACCATAGTAAAGAATTCTTGTAGTGTGGGATAGATAATCTGAACCAGAAAACTTCTATAACCACTGAAGACTTCTAGAAATGGGGCTGGAACACAAATTTGGTCACAAAATTTGACCTATAATCTATCCTTACTGTAAGATGTACTGGGGTTATGGTGGAATGTGTACGAGTGGACAATCAAAGACTACCCCAAATTTAAGCCCATGCCATGGGAGGCAGACCAGACCTGACACTGCCTGGATGGCTAGGAATGAAAGGCTAAACAACCCAAAAATTCACGATAGAACCAAACATGACTGGAAAAACATTTCAGTGAATTAATTACTAAAGATAATTTGTTATACTCATAGATAAGTGCCTAGACTAATAGTTATCAGAGAGGCATCATCCAGCAAGTGATGGGAGAAAATCCAGAGGCAATCAGCAGAACACTTGGCAGTAGCAGGGGAACTCCCTAGAATAGGGGAGGATGGATTATAGGAACCAGAAGGGGAAAGAACCCCATGAAAATATGGACATCTCTGACTCTTTTTCCTGCCCTTCAGACACTTTTCTTCCTACTAGGTTGCCTTTCTCATCTCTCATATGGTAAGCATAATAAAGCTTGCCATGCCATGTTCTATAGATATGCCTGGGAGGGTGCTCATTTTTTAAGGGAAAGAGAAGAAGGGTGGGTCTGGGGTAGAGGGGAAGTGGGAGCTTAGGGAGGTGTGGAGGGAGAGGAAACTGGTTGAGATGTAATATGTGAGAGAAGAAGGCAGAAGGAAAGAAATATATACTACAGGAAGACTCTTATGTGAAAGGTCCCACTGTCAATGCCACTCTCAGGATGAAAACAGTATGATCTCCTTTACGTGAAAGACTTTTCATTAAAAAAAATGTGGATCAAAACTATTTAGAAACCAGTTATATCCACAGTGAAACATACACAGTCCTTTTCCTGTCTATCTTGCTCATTTCACATGGATGATTGATGTGCAGGCAACATTGTGCCTAGTTGAATTGGGTAAACAGGGAATGTATTTGAGTATATGAGAGGACGTTTTTCTCTACGCAAACAATGCACATTTTCACAGAAGATTCAGAACATCCAAATTTCGAGGGTTTCTGAAATTAGGTGACATAAATTCTGATGGATTGTTATATATTTGAACCACAACCTTAAGGGCTGTGAATTTTTGGTTAACATATTGATATCTTTATTTTCCTTTTAAAACATCCTCACTTTAAATTCTGCCCTTCCCTTGTACATTCATGTATCCCATGATTACATACTAGTAATGCTAGTTGTACCTGAGTACAACTAATCATTTTCATCACACAACTTTTCTCTATTTTGTACACCCTTGATAAAGAAATGCCCCAACTCTGCAGTAGAATGAGAGGTGTGGTCACTCGTTCATGATGGCCAGACTCACTGGGGGACTGATCTTCGAACTGACTCGGTTGAAGACCTCACATTGATATTCTCCAGCATCCTCACTCTTGACAGGATCTATTTTGAGTCCACACTTTGTTGGGGACAAAGTCATCCTCTCTTTGAGCTGCAGATTCTTCTTATTGAAGATCCAACGGATAGAGATATTAGTGTCAGGTGAAATGCAGGAGAAGATCACAGATCTTTGTCCTGCGACTGTGGTATCAGAGATTTGCACAAAGGGCTGTGTCACATTCTCTGTGAAGAAACAGAAAATGGTCCCAAATGACAGTAGTCCAAAGAAACCAACCAGGCATTCCTTAGTTCATACTTTATAAAGCATCTATGTGGAAGAATTCAGAGCTGTGAGTACAGACATATATTGTGCTTTGAATCTGACACCTAGGGACTATGTGACCTGATTCAGGCACTGTTTCCTGTGTCTCCAATTCCTCATAAAAGGACACACAGTGAGTAGTCATTGCTGTGTCCATGAGTTAAGCTTAGTTATGAGCAATGGTCCGGCCTTGAGAGCTGCTGACAACAGCAGCATCTGTTATTATTTACCTGCAGAAGAGAATTCCCTAGGCTGGACTCCTGCATGGGAAGGAGGAATAAGAAGTAGCTACCTCTATGTTTCTTACCTTGGTGTCTTGCCCTTCCTGTGAAGTCTCATAAGTCAATCAGAACAATAGGATAATGACCCAGACACCTGTCTATTGAGCCTCAGAAGAAGGAGATAGACAGGTGACCTACCTAGCTTGCAGCTGTCATGGCAATACACAGATGATTCTATACTCTAGAAGACAGTCAGTCCCATGACTTGAACAGTCAGTAAAGCCTTGTTCATGCCAGTTCTTACAGGAAACCTAAACAGTTATAAAAAGCTCCCCAGTGTCACTTTGAGGCCACTGGGGACCAAGTTTTAGAGTCAGGGCATCCTGGTGCTCTCTATGAGCAACACATGGTGTCACCAGCCTGGGACTGCCTAATTCCCAGAGAGTCTTTCTGGGGATATGTGCATCATGAGTGCTCCAAGTGATGCTGACATTCTGGGGCTGACTTTACCCAGCATGAGTCCTCCACTCCGCAGGGAATGGGCAGCTGAGGGTTTCAATCTATTGCTGTATATCTATCCCATGTGTGTCTTACTGTAAGGGCCCAAACCACAATTGAGGGACACAATGCAGTGGTAGAGAGAGCAGGCATAGTCCAATCCTGGAATTTCAGTGTATGAAGTAGAATAAGCCACCCCCAGGAACTAGAGACCATAGAGAGTTACTTACTGTATACATGAAATTTCACGTAGGCTTCTTCTATTTTGAAATCTTTGTTTAAAATTGCTAGTGCATACATTCCTGCATCTTCCTCAGTGACATTCAGGAGCATCAGGGATCCATCTTTGTACATTGTCCCTCTTGGTTCGTATTCAGGCTCCCAAGAGAGAGAATACATGGCTGAGCTGTATTCTACAATTTTAATGACATGGCCCCTATATATCATTTTGTACCAGGCATAGCCTTGCAGATCTTCTGGAAGATTATGAACGTTAAGAAGTACATCATTCCCTTCAACAACATATGGAGGCAATGGTTGGATCATGAGTGGGAAAGGAGTGAGAGGGTTGCAACACAGAGAATATGAGGCTGAAAGGGAAAAGACAAAAAGTCATCACATGGGGATCCTTGTATTGGTGAAAAGATTCTGACCTCCACCTTAAGCAGATAGATTTGTCACTCAGGCTAGAGTTGCAAGTTTGTGTGGAGGGTGGGTGTCTATCCCACATAATGAAGGGCAGAAACATGGCCTCCTCCTTTCCAAAGGTGCCCCTGAAAGTGTTATTTCATCCCCATGGAACTGTCCCCCTGGGAGTCTACATGACTAATTCCTCACTGCCATCAGGCAGATACTGCTCAAATAATGCAAACTGGGGTATGAGATGATGCCTCTCCTGAACACAACAGGCCTGTAACTTTCTAGATTTTTTTCTTCAGTTTACTCTAAGGCAATACTAAACCCCTGTCTTCATCTAATAGCTGTACTTACTTCTCTTTCATGTAGCCCCTAGGCCTGGGATTATTTGGAGACTAGGTGCAGTCTAGTTTTCAAGGCAGACTTAGGTCTTTCAAAAGCTTAGATACTAGGTTAGCTGGTTTTATATCAGTTGACTCAAGATACAGTCCTTTTGCAAGACAAGGCCTCAATTGAAAATGCCACCATCAGATAGGCTATGAGTACAACTATAAATCATTTTTAAATTAGGGATTGATATAAAAGGATTCAGACAAATGCAGGCAGCTCATGCCATGGGCTAGGAATCCTGGATGACATAAGAGAGCAAGTTGAGCAAGCATGAAGAGCAAGCCAAGAGGAAGCACTCTTACATGGTCTCTGCACCAGTTTCTGGATTTTATTTATGACATTCTCAAATTGGAGCTAATAAATATCCCAGTTTGACATGAATGTTATAAAACTATTGTTTCCTATTAGAGTTGATAGGATGTAATAATAGAGCATTAAAAAAATAATCCCCTCTGTTGCTTTAGTGCAACCTTTGAAAGATGAATGGATGAAGGACTGCCTTGTCTTAGAGTCCAAAGAAACTGTGCTGTCTCTCACCTTTTAAGATGAGTTACTTCCCATTGACATTGCCCTTGATGCAAGTGGATTCTGAAGGTGAAAGCTGATCCATGGCCATTTGTCTCTACCAGTGTGTTCTGCACTAAATGCTCAAATATCCACATGATGACACAGTGCAGAGAAAAGGAGGCTAGGCCAGCCATGAAAGCCCTCTGCCTAAGCCCCACCCAGCAGTGAACAATCACAGAGAATCACTTACGGTCCACCTGGAGATGAACATGTGCTTCTTCACTTCTCATATCTGTTCTCAGAATAGCTAGAGTATAAAACCCAGAGTCTTTTTGAGTTACACCATGAAGCAACAGGGATCCATCACTGTACAATGTCTCTTTGCCACTATGTGCAGGCCCCCATACTGTTGATTTCTTCTCTATTATGTATCGGGCAACTTCCTGGCTCTTAAACACAACCATTCCTTTGAACCAAGCAAATGCTATAATATTCTCTGGGGGATTGCGAACAATTAGAAGAACACTTCCTCCTTCAACAACACTGGATGGCACTGATTCAATAGTGGGCTGGCCAGAGGTAGCGAGACGTCCACAATTCCAATGGAAGGCTAGAAAGGAAGTAAGAGATTATATATATATATATATATATATATATATATATATATGCACTTTTGTGTTTAAAAAAGATGAAGTCCCATGTCCTGAGCAGCTATGCCCACTGATTGTACCAGGTTTGTGGTTGAGTGTCCTCCTGTCCTACTTGGTGGAGGTCTGCACAGAACCTTCATTTTTCAATGTCCCTACACTTGTCACTTCCACTATATGGCTCTCTTTCTTCAGTTGTCAACGTTGCCCCAGCTTACTACCAACAGATCCTTGCTCACATTTACAGTGGATTGGTGTTGGGGTGATGCCTGACTAACTTCTTCCCCTACAGACCCTGTGTCTTCACTCTCTGACTTTGTTGTGTTCCTCTTGGGGTTTCAGACAACACCTGAATTCACCTTCTAGCTTTCTATACTTCAAGTCTACTCAAACTGGGACATCATAAGAACCATGGGTTTTATTGCATTTTTAAAAAAAATTCCTAGAAAAAATAATCATATACATGTGGAGACTAAATGACAGAATGATTTCCTAGAACCCTTTAATTCCTTGGATTTATTTAAGAAATTTATGAGTTTAGGGATACAGTATTGGATAATGCTATTTGCTTTGGTATCTTTACACTTGTTTAGATCTTATATTGTGTGTGAGTAGTGTAACAGCTAGTCTAGTGTATGTGGGTGGATACAGGATACAGTACTTAAGTGGAGCTCAAGTGGAGGTCAGAGGACTTCTGTTCATTGGTCTCAGTTTGTCAGAGAATGAAGCAAATGCCTATCTACATTGAACCATGTTAGTGATCCACCCCAGCTTGATGGTTTTCTAGGCCATCAACCTACCAGCATCAGTTCTCAGAATATTGTGCTCTTGAATACTAACTTCATGTAAGAATAATGCCTTCCCCACCATTATTGTTTAATATTCAGTGAGAAAATCCTGATGCTAAACCTGTCTCCCATTTTGTATCTTCTCCCCTACAAACACTGAAACCCCTATCATATCCTTGTGCCTCTCGGGAGACTCCAGACAGTAGGTCAAGCAGTCCTTTCCTCACACAGACTATCAACTCCTGGTCTCCTTATCTGTGATCAGAAGGCATTGAGATGTGGTGCATCTTTTGAAGAGGAGGACAGAGGGAACCTCCATTGTCTTAGTAGGTTGATCTGTCATCCCTTTGAGGTACTTCTGCTCCAGTACATCTCCAGAGCTCTGCTAGCCTTCCCCCTTGTGAACTGAGTCTCTTCCCAGGAAGAACCTCTCAGAATCCCATGGGCTGAGGATGGGTCTATGTTCAAAACAGTGCTCTGCCACTCCAGTTTAAACACTGCCCTGTTTGCCTTTCCCATTGTCTGCTTATGTTTCTGTACCCTAGAACACAGTGAAATTCAAGGGTAATGACATGAGATAATAGCAGCTGACCCTGAAACTACAATCTGCTGTGCCTTGGCCAAGGTTTGTCAGAATCAAAATGGGAAAAATCTGCACAATCCAGGTTGGCACCTAGTCTGCCCTGTGATTTCATTGCTCTGGAAACATGGAATTTGCTCCCAGAAGGAGGGTGAAAACCTGCCTTTGAGGCTCCAAAGGGATCAGGTGAGTGATGTGTAGGTAAAAGAACAAATCTATTCTCCCTGGAGTTACCATCAGATTGGGTTCTGACCGAGATCAAAGATCCAGAATGTGCCAGGAGTCTCTTGGGTGTGAGAGAGGAAGTGACCTGATTCCTGGAAAAACGATTCTGAGCTCCTTCAACTGATCCAAAATTTTCAAGACCATGCTCCCACTTCCTCTATTTGCTGAGCTGTGTAATGGATCTGCCCTATGTGCTCAGGGGTCTTTCTGAGATGCCTTGAACATATACCTAGTTGATTCCCCTTGAATATTTTGTATTTCCCAAAGGAAACACATAAAATGGAAAACAGAACATGGTCTCCTGGCAGTTTGGCAGAAACATTAAGCATTCAGTAGGTCTGAGAATGCTGTGACGATGATTTCCACATCTGAAAAACAGGGCTGAACCCAGGCACCAGGGTAAGTGCCTGATTCAGGTGAATACTTTTCTATCAGTCCATCGTGTGTCCTGATTACATGCCTGGTGATCACTGGGAGAACTACAGCTCACGTCTGGGAAGCTGTCATATCAGCATAGCCTGTAGCCATTTGCTTGCAGGAGACATTTCTCTGAGCTAGACCCAGAGGAAAAGCACTTGTCAGACAAGATCCTCTCACTGGGGACCATACACTTTATGTGAAATTTCTTATACCCAACAGGAGAGTTAGATAATGGCCTGGACATCTGTTGATCTATGTTGTCTGCTGACTCTGAAGAAGATGGCCAAGGGATGTATCCCAGTCAAGGCTCTCACAAGAGTGCACTGCCTGGTTCCACACATCACAAGACTTTGACTAGTAGGGAGCACTGTTCCCTGCCATCAGGGAGTCAAAATTCAACACTTATAAAATGTTTCTCATGAATACCTGGAGTTGAGTCTGGGACAGAGTTCTGAAAGTAGAGCATACTAGTGCTCACATCTCTGTGAGGAACCCATGCTTTCCTCAACCAAGTACAACACTGATTCCCTCAGGGTCTTTCTCAAGGCAACATTTCTGGTAAGAGCCCCTAGAGTCTAGAGAGGTTGATAACCTTGTCTGTTTTACCCACCTTGCATCTACATGTGTGCAAAGTGAAATCAAATGAAGCATTCTGATCTATTGTCATTATCCTACACCATTTGTGTCCTGAACTAAATGATCAAACCCCAAGATGGCAACACAGTTCATAGGGATAGTAGGCACAGACCACTCTCCTCTCAGTGTTCAGTGAAATGTACCTCACCCAGTTCACAGAGGTGACAATGAATCACTTACCATTCACTTGGAGGTACATGGTTGTTGTTGATATGACTTTTTTACGTCTGTTATAGGTTTGTAGAATATAGAATCCTGTGTCCTTGAGGTTGATATTTTCTATCATCAGGGATCCATTGCGATATATTGTCTCTCTACCACTGTACAGAGGACCTGGCCTACTTAAATTGTAGGGCAGTGCATATGCTGCAATTTCTTCTGTGGCGTTTCTTAGAGCTTTGAACCAGACTAAGGATTTAGTATTATCTGGCAGATCATGCACAAGGAAAAGGATGTTTTCTCCTTCAACCACTCGGCTTGACTCAGTAGTTATATGGACAGCAGTGGACAGGTACCAGGAGGTTAAAAGGGAGACTAAAAGAAAATTGAGAAAAAATAATATTACACTGGTGTGAGCATCATTCAGTATTGGTGTGTGAGTAGGGCTGTGCTCAACCTACTTGGTAGACATGAGCAACATGAGTGCCATTGACTCAGAGTTGTCTGAGTGTGTCAGTAACTCTCTTTGGAATTCTCTGCTCAGGTATCTTCCTGGATTTCACTCTATGTCCCATATACCCCATATCTCTCCTCACAGAGAGTATTTGGTGCAGGGAGTATTGCTTCTCAGAACTTCTCCTCTGGAGTCTTCACATTCTGATATTTTTGTCTCTTCCATGTGTACCTTTACTTCCTAAAACTTATTCTGTAGGCAGGCTGGCCTTTAACCATCAAAGATTACCTACTCTGCCTCCGAAGTGCTATCTGTATGAAAAGGCTAAGCCACAGATGCCTTGGAAGGTTCAGTTCCTAGAAAAAACTCAGACACAGGTGGCTAAAGGAAAAAAAGAAGGATGAAAAGAGAAATGTGTCTTTCTATGGATTTATCTTCATAGTTTCTAGATTTGGAGTTTTGACAATAAATATATTCAAGTGTGAAATAAATGACTTTAGATTTATTTATGTAAATATGTGTGTTTTGTGAAGGCTGCTGTCTCCTTGTGCACATATGAAAATGTTTGCCACAAATCTGTGTCAGGCACATGTGCCAGAGTGGGCATGTGTAGATACATGAAGCACCAAGGAGGAGGCCAGAGTAGAGCAAAAAGAAGTCTGTTCTCTCCATCTACAGTATGGCAGCTGAGGATGGATTTCAGGTTGTCATATCTGAGGATGGTGTCAGGTTCACACACTGAGACATCTTACTAACAATCCCCTGTTTGATTTCTATTTGAAGAGTCGTACTTTCATGGTTGGGAATAGTTGTCTTTAGAACATGCACTCAATGAAAACCACTGTGAATATGGAGTCCTCTAGGATTTTCTCTTAATATTACCACATCCTTTCCCCTGAGAGTTTCAGGCTTCTGAATCTCTGTCCTTCACTTTACCTTCAGTACCAAAACTGCAAACAGAAACCTTCGTTTCTCTGTCAAAATCCTGTCCTCTTTAGGAGACTCCATCCTGCCTCTGAGTGCCCCTCCCCACACTCTCAGGGAGTGGGTACTCTTACCTGTGAACAGAAGGCCTTTCCAGGGGGCACACCCCTTGCCAAAAAGCACTGAGAACTCCTCCATCAAACTTCTTACTTGCTGTCTTCCCTCTAAGAAGAACAACATCATCTGCGACATAGAACACAGGCTCTGCTGTCTTCCTCCTTCTGGGCTGAGATTCTTCTCAGAAAGAAGCACTTCTCAGAATCCAATGGGCTGTGAGTGGTAGGGTTTGAGTCCAAGGCACTGCTCAAGCCCTTCCACTCTCAGTGATGCCCTGCATCCCTCACAACTTCCTTTTATGTTCCTTCACCAAGACACAAATTGTGCAACAATGCTGATAAGCATCCCCATGGCCTCAGAGAACAATGGCTCATCCTAGGGCTGACATCTGATGTGTCCTTGCCTTGGGTCTGTCAGCACCTAACAGGGGGCCTCTATCATATCTATGTGTCCTTTATGATACAGAGACCAACCTGAGCACCCAATCCATCCTGCATTCTCAGTGCTCTGGGAA